ATTTGAGCATAAGCTTTCGTGAGCTACAGCTCACTTCATCGGATGCTGTAGCTCACGAAAGCTTATGCTCAAATAAATTGGTTAGTCTCTAAGGTGCCACAAGTACTCCTTTCCTTTTTGCGAATACAGACTAACACGGCTGCTACTCTGAAACTTGTGCATACAGTCTACTAATGCATACTGCCTCTTAATGGTTGTACAGCTACCGCAATTGGGAGGGCTAGTACTCTCCAGAGAAAATGAAGACAGGCATGATAAGGACCTGGTAAAATGGGGATATGGTATGGCAGGTGGCTTGTTAATTTCCTCTGGAAAATTATAAATTAGTGGGGGCAGGGTTAAATATTAGCATAACCAATTTTACCTTCGATGATGGCGATCAGGAAAAGGATCCTCTCACAATGTTATTGCAGTCTCATGATGTTATTGCAGATGGAGTCTCATGATGATTGGTAAGTCCCAGCTCATGAAGTGTTTAGAGGAAAATCTCACCTTTCATCATTTTTCATGCTGCTCTCATTTATATGGGTGCAAATCCAGAGCAACTCCATGACATCAGTGGAGTTACTCCCAATTGAGGTAGTGTAGCTAAGAGCAGAAACAGTCCCCTGGAGTTCAGTGAACATTTGTTGATATAGTGTCCTTCAAAATCTTACTGGAAATAAGAATTCAAAAAAGGCTTGGATATGAGTGATCATATGGATGGCAACTGCTAGAAAGATCATATAAGAAAAATGTCATGTATTGATGCATGGGGATGGGGGGACAGGAAAAGGAATGTAGTGAGCTGCAGCGATCAGTGTAAGGCTGTGTTCATTAGACTAGAAGAGTGGCCTAATAATTAGAGCAGGGGACTGGTAGTCTGGTTATCTAGGTTCTGCTCAAAACTCTGCCAGTGAGTCACTGTAACCTTGGGCAACTCATTTAACACAGTTACCATATGTAACAGATAAGTATTAATTACCCTCCCCTTTACAAAGGTTTTTAGATCCTTGAAAGAAAGGCACTATTGTTAAGACATTTAACAACTTTATTTATAATATAAAGAATAACCTGCACATTCGATTGGCAGACTAAATCATATCGAGAGGCATTGCAAATACCAGGGAGGACAGAGAAATTATAGAAATGGATCCGGAGAGATCAAAAATATGGGAAAAAATTAAAATTACCTCATATAACAAGAATATTTCCCCAGTAATGATGGATGTGGAATTGTCTTGTAATGGATCACTTGAAATTAGCCTGGGTAAAGCCTCATTATACATTCCTTATACAGAAGTCAGTTGGGAGTCATAAGTGAGCAATGAATGCCAGGTTCCAAGTGGTGATAGCATTAAAAGTGTATAAGGTTAGAAGGTTAATAGAAGAAAAGGAGTACTTGTGGCACCTTAGAGACTAACCAATTTATTTGAGCATAAGCTTTCGTGAGCTACAGCTCACTTCATTGGATGCATTCAGTGGAAAATACAGTGAGGAGATTTATATACACACACAACATGAAAAAATGGGTGTTTATCATGCACACTGTAAGGGGAGTGATCCCTTAAGATGAGCTATTACCAGCAGAAGAGTGGGGGGGGGGGGCGCGGGGAAGAAAACCTTTGTAGTGATAATCAAGGTGGGCCATTTCCAGCAGTTAACAAGAACCTCTGAGGAACAGTGGGGGGTTGGGGGGGGGGAGAATAAACAAGGAGAAATAGTTTTATTTTGTGTAATGACTCAACCACTCCCACTCTCTATTCAAGCCTAAGTTAATTGTATCCAGTTGGCAAATTAATTCCAATTCAGCAGTCTCCCCTTGGAGTCTGTTTTTGAAGTTTTTTTGTTGAAGAAAAAAGGTTAATAGAGAAAGTTTGGAATAAACTATTGAGCCTGAATAAGGACTGGTCCTTAGAGGTTTTTAAGGCAAATACAACTACAATACCAAGTATACTCAATGTATGGATCAGACAACCACAGTGACAGTTGTGAAAACTGTGTTTAAAAAAAAAGAGAGAGATGCTGAGAAGGGGAAAAAAAGACATCAGAAACACTTATGATGTAGATGGTAGGATTTATATAAGCCCCATGGCGCTGTTCCATCTCAGAATATCACTAATCAGACACTAGATATCAGCTGACAAGATCTTGATGGGAGAGCAATGAATGTGGCAGGAATATCTTTGTTGCTCATTTCTGGTGTACTGAAAACGTTCTCCCCAGTCAGATACTCAATTTCACAGTATCCAAAACAGAGAAGCAAATTTGTAATACAAGATGACTCTTTTTAACTCAGGAGGGCAAGTAGTCACTGATGTTCAGAATAGGATAAATGTTCAGAATAGGTATTACACATCCAAAACTAAACTCCCCCCCCCCACATCATTATCACAGACAAGCCACACCCTTCCTGAAAGGAAAAACAAACACAAAAGATAGGATCCTCAAAAGTGCACAACTGACATGACTTTTGTCATGTCTCCCTTTTTCTGTTTTGTCTTTTTAGGCTGTAAGCTTCAGGGTGGGGCCTGTCTCTTATGATGTTTGTACAGAGACCAGCACAATGGGGCTTTGCACCACAGAGCTGTTGGTTTTATCATTCAAATGATGCAGGATGCTTTTCCTGCAAAGCTCTTTTCTTAATACTTGAGCCCCAAAACCTGAGCACAAGGAGAAGACTAAGGGTATGTCTACACTACGGAATAAGGTCGAATTTATAGAAGTCGGTTTTTTAGAAATCGGTTTTATATATTCGAGTGTGTGTGTCCCCACAGAAAATGCTCTAAGTGCATTAAGTGCATTAACTCGGCGGAGCGCTTCCACAGTACTGAGGCTAGAGTCGACTTCCGGAGCGTTGCACTGTGGGTAGCTATCCCACAGTTCCCGCAGTCTCCGCTGCCCATTGGAATTCTGGGTTGAGATCCCAATGCCTGATGGGGCTAAAACATTGTCGCGGGTGGTTCTGGGTACATATCGTCAGGCCCCCGTTCCCTCCCTCCCTCCGTGAAAGCAAGGGCAGACAATCGTTTTGCGCCTTTTTTCCTGAGTTACCTGTGCAGACGCCATACCACGGCAAGCATGGAGCCCGCTCAGGTAACCGTCACCCTATGACTCCTGGGTGCTGGCAGACGCGGTACGGCATTGCTACACAGTAGCAGCAACCCCTTGCCTTCTGGCAGCAGACGGTGCAGTACGACTGGTAGCCGTCATCGTAATGTCCGAGGTCATCCTGGCCACGTCGGCTGGGAGCGCCTGGACAGACATGGGCGCAGGGACTAAATTTGGAGTGACTTGACCAGGTCATTCTCTTTAGTCCTGCAGTCAGTCCTATTGAACCGTCTTATGGTGAGCGGGCAGGCGATACGGACTGCTAGCAGTCGTACTGTACCATCTTCTGCCAGGCAGGCAAGAGATGAGGATGGCTAGGAGTCGTACTGTACCATCTTCTGCCGAGCAGCCATGAGATGTGGATGGCATGCAGTCCTTCTGCACCGTCTTCTGCCAGCCAAAGATGTAAAAGATAGATGGAGTGGATCAAAACAAGAAATAGACCAGATTTGTTCTGTATTCATTTGCTTCTCCCCCTCCCCCCCCATCTAGGGGACTCATTCTTCTAGGTCACACTGCAGTCACTCACAGAGAAGGTGCAGCGAGATAAATCTAGCCATGTATCAATCAGAGGCCAGGCTAACATTCCTGTTCCAATAAGAACGATAACTTAGGTGCACCATTTCTTATTGGAACCCTCCGTGAAGTCCTGCCTGAAATACTCCTTGATGTAAAGACACCCCCTTTGTTGATTTTAGCTCCCTGAAGCCAACCCTGTAAGCCGTGTCGTCAGTCGCCCCTCCCTCCGTCAGAGCAACGGCAGACAATCGTTCCGCGCCTTTTTTCTGTGCGGACGCCATACCAAGGCAAGCATGGAGGCCGCTCAGCTCACTTTGGCAATTAGGAGCACATTAAACACCACACGCATTATCCAGCAGTATATGCAGCACCAGAACCTGGCAGAGCGATACCGGGCGAGGAGGCGACGTCAGCGCGGTCACGTGAGTGATCAGGACATGGACACAGATTTCTCTGAAAGCATGGGCCCTGCCAATGCATGCATCATGGTGCTAATGGGGCAGGTTCATGCTGTGGAACGCCGATTCTGGGCTCGGGAAACAAGCACAGACTGGTGGGACCGCATAGTGTTGCAGGTCTGGGACGATTCCCAGTGGCTGCGAAACTTTCGCATGCGTAAGGGCACTTTCATGGAACTTTGTGACTTGCTTTCCCCTGCCCTGAGGCGCATGAATACCAAGATGAGAGCAGCCCTCACAGTTGAGAAGCGAGTGGCGATAGCCCTGTGGAAGCTTGCAACGCCAGACAGCTACCGGTCAGTTGGGAATCAATTTGGAGTGGGCAAATCTACTGTTGGGGCTGCTGTGATGCAAGTAGCCCACGCAATCAAAGATCTGCTGATATCAAGGGTAGTGACCCTGGGAAATGTGCAGGTCATAGTGGATGGCTTTGCTGCAATGGGATTCCCTAACTGTGGTGGGGCCATAGACGGAACCCATATCCCTATCTTGGCACCGGAGCACCAAGCCGCCGAGTACATAAACCACAAGGGGTCCTTTTCGATAGTGCTGCAAGCTCTGGTGGATCACAAGGGACGTTTCACCAACATCAACGTGGGATGGCCGGGAAAGGTGCATGATGCTCGCATCTTCAGGAACTCTGGTCTGTTTCAAAAGCTGCAGGAAGGGACTTTATTCCCAGACCAGAAAATAACTGTTGGGGATGTTGAAATACCTATATGTATCCTTGGGGACCCAGCCTACCCCTTAATGCCATGGCTCATGAAGCCGTACACAGGCAGCCTGGACAGTAGTCAGGAGCTGTTCAACTACAGGCTGAGCAAGTGCAGAATGGTGGTAGAATGTGCATTTGGACGTTTAAAGGCGCGCTGGCGCAGTTTACTGACTCGCTTAGACCTCAGCGAAACCAATATTCCCACTGTTATTACTGCTTGCTGTGTGCTCCACAATATCTGTGAGAGTAAGGGGGAGACGTTTATGGCGGGGTGGGAGGTTGAGGCAAATCGCTTGGCTGCTGGTTACGCGCAGCCAGACACCAGGGCAGTTAGAAGAGCACAGGAGGGCGCGGTATGCATCAGAGAAGCTTTGAAAACCAGTTTCATGACTGGCCAGGCTACGGTGTGAAAGTTCTGTTTGTTTCTCCTTGATGAAACCCCCCGCCCCTTGGTTCACTCTACTTCCCTGTAAGCTAACCACCCGCCCCTCCTCCCTTCAATCACCGCTTGCAGAGGCAATAAAGTCATTGTTGCTTCACATTCATGCATTCTTTATTCATTCATCACACAAATAGGGGGATGACTACCAAGGTAGCCCAGGAGGGGTGGTGGAGGAGGGAAGGAAAATGCCACACAGCACTTTAAGCACAGCACTTTAAAAGTTTACAACTTTAAAATTTATTGAATGACAGCCTTCTTTTTTTTGGGCAATCCTCTGTGGTGGAGTGGCTGGTTGGCCGGAGGCCCCCCCACCGCGTTCTTGGGCATCTGGGTGTGGAGGCTATGGAACTTGGGGAGGAGGGCGGTTGGTTACAGAGGGGCTGCAGTGGCAGTCTGTGCTCCAGCTGCCTTTGCTGCAGCTCAACCATACACTGGAGCATACTGGTTTGGTCCTGCAGCAGCCTCAGCATTGAATCCTGCCTCCTCTCATCACGCTGCCGCCACATTTGATCTTCAGCCCTGTCTTCAGCCCGCCACTTACTCTCTTCAGCCCGCCACTTACTCTCTTCAGCCCGCCACCTCTCCTCTCAGTCATTTTGTGCTTTCCTGCACTCTGACATTATTTGCCTCCACGCATTCGTCTGTGCTCTGTCAGTGTGGGAGGACAGCATGAGCTCGGAGAACATTTCATCGCGAGTGCGTTTTTTTTTCTTTCTAAGCTTCACTAGCCTCTGGGAAGGAGAAGATCCTGTGATCATTGAAACACATGCAGCTGGTGGAGAAAAAAAAAGGGACAGCGGTATTTAAAAAGACACATTTTATAAAACAGTGGCTACACTCTTTCAGGGTAAACCTTGCTGTTAACATTACATACATAGCACATGTGCTTTCGTTACAAGGTCGCATTTTGCCTCCCCCCACCGCGTGACTACCCCCTCAACCTTCCCCCCTCCCTGTGGCTAACAGCGGGGAACATTTCTGTTTAGCCACAGGCAAACAGCCCAGCAGGAATGGGCTCCTCTGAGTGTCCCCTGAAGAAAAGCACTCTATTTCAACCAGGTGACCATGAATTATATCTCACTCTCCTGAGGATAACACAGAGAGATAAAGAACGGATGTTGTTTGAATGCCAGCAAACATACACTGCAATGCTTTGTTCTACAATGATTCCCGAGTACGTGTTACTGGCCTGGAGTGGTAAAGTGTCCTACCATGAAGGACGAAATAAGGCTGCCCTCCCCAGAAACCTTTTGCAAAGGCTTTAGGACTACATCTAGGAGAACCGCGAATGCCAGGGCAAAGTAATCCTTTCACATGCTTGCTTTTAAACCATGTATAGTATTTTAAAAGGTACACTCACCAGAGGTCCCTTCTCCGCCTGCTGGGTCCAGGAGGCAGCCTTGGGTGGGTTCGGGGGGTACTGGCTCCAGGTCCAGGGTGAGAAACAGTTCCTGGCTGTCGGGAAAACCGGTTTCTCCGCTTGCTTGCTGTGAGCTATCTACAACCTCATCATCATCATCATCATCTTCTTCATCCCCAAAACCTGCTTCCGTATTGCCTCCATCTCCATTGAAGGAGTCAAACAACACGGCTGGGGTATTGGTGGCTGAACCTCCTAAAATGGCATGCAGCTCATCATAGAAGCGGCATGTTTGGGGCTCTGACCCGGAGCGGCCGTTCGCCTCTCTGGTTTTCTGGTAGGCTTGCCTCAGCTCCTTCAGTTTCACGCGGCACTGCTTCGGGTCCCTGTTATGGCCTCTGTCCTTCATGCCCTGGGAGATTTTGACAAAGGTTTTGGCATTTCGAAAACTGGAACAGAGTTCTGATAACACGGATTCCTCTCCCCAAACAGCGATCAGATCCCGTACCTCCCGTTCGGTCCATGCTGGAGCTCTTTTGCGATTCTGGGACTCCATCATGGTCACCTGTGCTGATGAGCTCTGCATGGTCACCTGCAGCTTGCCACACTGGCCAAACAGGAAATGAGATTCAAAAGTTCGCGGTTCTTTTCCTGTCTACCTGGCCAGTGCATCTGAGTTGAGAGTGCTGTCCAGAGTGGTCACAATGGAGCACTCTGGGATAGCTCCCGGAGGCCAATACCATCGAATTGTGTCCACAGTACCCCAAATTCGAGCCGGCAACGTCGATTTAAGCGCTAATCCACTTGTCAGGGGTGGAGTAAGGAAATCGATTTTAAGAGCCCTTTAAGTCGAAATAAAGGGCTTCATTGTGTGGACGGGTGCAGGTTTACATCGATTTAACGCTGCTAAATTCGACCTAAAGTCCTAGTGTAGACCAGGGCTAACTTTATTTTTCTCCAAGAATACAGAGACTCCTGATGCAAGAGCCCTATGGGCATGCAGATATGCTGATGCATACCTAATCTGCATGCTCTGTATGGTATGGAATGCAGGAAATGGCGATTCTTCTATAAGATGTGTAGGGACTTGGTCCTGTAGTCCTTATGCAGGCAATGCCTTCATTGAAGACAATGGTGCACAGCCTGACAGGCAGAGGGGTTCCCTGTGGGAGCCAGGAGGAAGGACTACACCCTGGCAGTGGAGTTGTTCTCCAACTAATGATCCTGTGTTCTCTGCTCATGGTGGGCAATGGCCAATAAGACGTGGCTGCACAAGGTCTGACTTTGCTCCTCCCTAGCTCAGCCCAGTCTCCCCTTTGCCTTCCAGGATAATGCCCAAGGAGCTCCTGTGGCTGCATGGAGAAGGCTGACATCCCCTGAGCAAGCCCTACGTCTTGCCCCTTCCTCCAGTGCAGCAGAGTTAAAATACAGAGTTCCCCTCACTAAAAACACACAGGGTCAGATCCTCAGCTGATGTAATTTGATATAGTGCCATGAACTCAATACTTATGCTGATTTACCCCAGATGTGTCGTGGCAGCTGAAGATCTCACCCATTTCTTTCAAGTTGGCCCCTTAAATTTTTGTGACTAGTTCCATATCCTTTGCGTTATTTGTGCATGGTGCTTTGCCATTGTTTGAGCAAATAAGAGGGTGAGGGGATGTATTGTGAGCCCCACAGAGAATACTTGTTTCCAGGAGCTTTTTACTTTAACTGTAAAAATCTGCCTTTCCCTCTGTGAAGCTAACTTTGTTTGAATAATAACCCTTAGCAGAAAAAGGACATCTGTTCAGGCCTTCCACAAAATGACAGTAATGTCAACTTAATGGAGAGAATTTCTGGGAGGAGACTAGTATGCTTTCCTGAATAAATTAATGCTATGCAGTTTTAATGGAGGCCTGAAATAGATGTGAGAATTAAAGGGAATATTAAAACCAAGTTACTCTGTAGAGCTTTACTTATTGCTATAAAATTCCCTCTCTCAGCTGTCTGTGTAAAGGTAAACTGCTTTTTTTGTGTCTATAATGATCCCCATAGAGTGGAATGTAGGTTAGAGTTGTTTAACTGTGATTTCCTGTTGATGAATAAAGATATTGCATCTACCTGATCTGGGAGCTTGTTCTGTCAGTCCTGGCCCATTGTAAATTACAGCAGCCCTAGGTTGAATCTATGCCGTTTGGCTATGTTCCCCAAGGGGCCATCTGCCACGTGGGGATTGTAGTATGTAGGACTGTGCCTTTGAGGGCTAAACTTCCTAGACAGAGCCAGGGAAAGGTGTAGTGAAGTTCTTGTTTTGCGCAGCCCAGTTGGAACCAGAATGAAGCAGATCTGTTGCAATCACTGAGGGCTTGTCTATGCGGTATGTCAATGCATACTCCAGGAGTGTGATTTCTAAAGCTCACTAACTTGTTGTGCATTAATTGGTCTGTGTAGACCAGAGGTGGGCAGACTACGGCCCACGGGACCGTTCTGTCCGGCCCCTGAGCTCCTGGCCCAGGAGGCTAGCCCCCGGTCCCTCCCCCACTGTTCCCCCTCCCCAGCAGTGAGCCGCCGGTGCAATGCTCTGGGTGGCGGGGCTGTGAGCTCCTGAGGCAGCGCAGCTGCAGAGCCTGGCCTGACCCAGTCTCTGCCCTGGCCTGACCCAGTGGTGCAGCCGGGCGGCGCGGCTGCCTCTCTTGGAGCAGCCGCGCCGCCAACCACCGGTGCTCCAAGCAGCACCATAAGGGGGCAGGGAGCAGGGGAGGGGGGTTGGATAGAGGGCAGGGGAGTTCAGGGGTTGGTCAGGGGCCGGGGGTGTGGATAGAGGTCAGGGTGGTCAGAGGGCAGGGAACAGGGGTTTGAATGGGGGCAAGGGTTCCGGGGACAGTCAGGGAGAAGGGGTGCTTGGGTGGGGCTGGGGTCCTGGGGGGGAAGTCAGGAATGAGAAGAGGGGTTGGATGGGGAGGCAGGTCAGTCAGGGACTGGGGTTCCAGGGGCAGTCAGGGGACAGGGAGGAGTGGTTGGATGGGGCAGGGGTCCTGGGGGGGACAGTTAGGAAGGAGGGGTGGTTGGATGGGGTAGTGGGGGGCAGTTAGCGGCGGAGGATCTGGGGGTGGTCAGGGGACACAAAGCTGGGGGCGGGGGTGGATGGGGCAGGAGTCCCGAGGGGGCCATCAGGGGGTGAGAAGCGGGGGGGGGATCCAGATAGGGTACGGGGGCCAGGTCATGCCTGGCTGTTTTGGGAGGCACAGCCTCCCCTAACCGGCCCGCCATACAATTTCTGAAACCCAATGTGGCCCTCAGGCCAAAAAGTTTGCCCGCCCCTGGTGTAGACCCTGGCATGCACTAAAGGTTCCCTACTATGCTTTCAGGCACTTAAAGTGCACTAGGGAACCTTTAGTGCAGGGGTTCTCAACCTTTTTCTTTCTGAGGCCCTCCTCAACATGCTATAAAAACTCTGGTTTCAGAGTAGCAGCCATGTTAGTCTGTATTCGCAAAAAGAAAAGGAGGACTTGTGGCACCTTAGAGACTAACCAATTTATTTGAGCATAAGCTTTCGTGAGCTACAGCATCCGATAAAGTGAGCTGTAGCTCACAAAAGCTTATGCTCAAATAAATTGGTTAGTCTCTAAGGTGCCACAAGTACTCCTTTTTTTTTTTAATAAAAATCCATAGCCCACCTGTGCCACAACACACTTGTTTTTCTGCATATAAAAGCCAGGGCCAGCATTAGGGGGTAGCAATCAGGACAATTGCCCGGGGCCCCATACCACAAGGGACCCCACAAAGCTAAATTGCTCAGGCTTCAGTCCCGGAGGGCGAGGCTTGGGGTGGCGGGGCTTCAACTTTCTGCCCTGGGCCTCAGTAAGTCTAATGCCAGCCCTGCTTGGTAGACCCCCCTGAGATCTGCTTGCAGCCCCCCATAGGGCCTCAGGCCCCTGGTTGAGAACTGCTGTTTTAGTGAATGCCAGCAGGGTCAACGTGGAATGATTAATATGCAACACATTAGTGTGCTTAAGAAATACACCCCACCGCCACCTATAGTGTGAATTACGTCACCACACAGATAAGCCCTTAGTGACCACTGGACAACACAAGGATTGCTGGAGCATGCCTACTTCTTGCCCCCCATCCCAAAAAATCCCCACTACAATGGAGGCTGCAGTGGGAGATGATATAGGGGCTGGCTACACTGTCTCTACACCCACAGGGGCAGGGGGTGAGGCATGCTGGCTTCTAGCCCAATGTTTATAACTAATATAGCCCCCTTTTAGTTAGCAAATTATTTGTGAACTGCTCTGGTTCCTGCTCATGTATTGGTGAGTATTTATTTTCCAGATACTTTGGACAAATAACTTTTTGAACTTTCATGAACCTTTGTGGCTCCCCTGCACCCAAATTGCAATGGACTTAGGCTATGTCTACACTACCACTTATGTTGGTAAAACTTATGTCACTCAGGGGTGTGAAAACCCCCCTGAGCAACATAAGTTTCTCCGGCATATGTGGTAGTGTGCACGGCACTGTGTCAGTGAGAGAGCTTCTCCCTGCCGCTCGGCAGAGGTGGTTTAATTATGTCAATGGGAGAGCTCTTTCCCATCGACATAGAGCGGCTACATGAGAGATCTTACAGCGGCACAGGTGCATCAGTCTCTAGTGTAGACAAAGCCTTAGAAGAAATGCTCTATAGCATTTGGTTCTTTGTCTCTTTCATGAGCATGGCTCATGGACTGTAACTAGAGAATGTAGGCAGTTATTTTTGCTATATAATGTTCTCTCTTGCGAAGCATGATAAATTTCCTAAGTCTGTAATAAAACAGGACCTGGTTCTCCGCTCAGCCACTATAGAGGAGACACACAACAGTTTATCCAGCCACTGTGGAATATCCCCAGTGCCGGAGTGGTGTTTGTGGAGTTAGTACTGTACCTAATAATCTCCATGGACTTTATATTTAAGAACTGCACACTTGCGTGACGTTCAGTAGTTGCCATGGAAATCCACACAGCATGAACCTGCTTGACTAAGACCTCATGGCAGATAATTTCAAACAGGATAATTTCTATTCTTTTCCCAAACACAAGGTCAGACACCCAAGTGGGGGGCAGGTAAGAAATGAGATATGTATGTGGAAGACATACTTGCCCCTTTCCCAACATCTTTTTCTAAGGACCTTGAAGTAGGATAAATGAAAGTCAGATCTTAGGGACTACATTTATTTGAAGACAACCCTATAAATGAACTAAGGAAGCTAGTTTTTACTCCTAATTCACTGAAACATAATTTTCACAAGTTGTACTTTTACATTCTGTTTGTCGGACTTCTATAAAAATCAATATGGGCCACATTATTGGTATCAAATTCCGTCCTTGTATATTGCCTCTTCTTTAACAAACCTGATCCAGTGAAGTCAGTGGCAAAACTCTTATAGACTTCAGTGGTGCAAGATAAAACCTTAAAGGAGGAAAGACCTCAAATTATCCTAAGTA